GGGGAGTAAAATATTTTTCTCATTTCATTGGGCTGATATTGATGCTCCTGTTAGATGTGATGTGTACGCTGCAGCTGTGGCTGCAGCAAGAGGAGACTTGTTGAATTGTTTTAACTGGGATTCATGCTTCAGTGATGGCGTTCATTCTCGCTACATGAAATACATGTCTACGATGCAACGTCCTGTTATGCTGCCTTTCTGCATAGTTCTGATGCTTTCTATAACCACTGTGCCATAATGACGGTGTTAACAGGTTGTTTGAGTCAAGCAGAAGGCCTAGATGTAAAATGCATGGCCCGCCCCTGACCCCAGTAGTACTACTTCTGCTGCTAGGATGAGTACAAACACTACCAGTAGCAACTGTAGTACTGATACTGCTGCGGAGGGAAGTGTATGTATTTGTCTGTGTCATAGTTTCCCTCAGTGCTGAGAGCATTTGATTTATTTATTTAGAAATGTGATTTATTTAGACATAGTGATACTGATAAGCATACAAATTCTACAAAGTAAGTCAGGAAATTAAAAAAAAAGAAAAAAAAAGCACAACATCAGTGATTACATCAGTATTCACGTCCTTCCATCAGTACGTGGTAGATGCACCTTTGGCTGCAGTTTCAGCATTTATCCTGTGTTGGGTCTCGATCATTCATATATTAATTTTACCCACGACCTTTACGTGCCTGCCGCTGAGAAGCATCCCCATATCATGATGCTGCCACCGCCATGCTTCATTGTAGGGATGGTGTGTTTGTGATGATGTGCAGTGTTTAGTCTGATGGACAAAACACTCCATTTTGGACCAAAGAACCTTCTTCCAGTTGACTTCAGAGTCTTCCACGTGTCTTCTGGTGAACTCTAGTCCAGATTTAACATGAGTTTTTTTCAACAGTGTCTTTCTCTTTTTCACTCTCCCTTAAAGCTTTGACTGGTGAAGAACAGGCGACAGTGGTTGAGTCTCTCCCATCTCAGCTCCTGAAACTTGTGAGTCCTTCAGAGGAGTCATAGGTGTCTTGTCTCATGGAGAGGTCTAAAGGTGTTGTCCATGATGGATGTCTGCTTGGCTAACATCTTCCCCTTACCCACCTTCTCAATGACCAGTTTGTTTAGTTTCCTTCTATCCCTGTCTGTGCTTCCACATCCCCAGTAGACCAAGATTGCAGAGACAACCACAGTGTCATAGAAGGTCTTTAACGGTGTCCTACACACTCCAAAGGACTGAGTGTCCTCAGCAGATGGAGGAGACTTTGGCTGTTCTTATACAGGACATCTGTAATGTGTGACCAGTCCAGATTATGGTTAAGGTGGTGAACTCTCCACCATCTCAATGTCCGGCCTTGGATGTTTACGGGTGTAATCTGGGGTGATTTACAGTGGAAGTCTATCACCAGCTCCTTTGTCTTGCTGGTGTTTAGGTGGAGATGGTTTAGCTTACACCAGTCAACAAAGTTCAGGACGACCCCCCGTATCCCTGTTCTCTGATACACATGTAACAGTGGCTGTATCATCGGAGAACTTCTGAAAGCAACAGTTCGCAGTGTTGTGTGTGAAGTCTATAAGAGAATAAATCCTGAACATTTCTTAACCTGCAGTCGCTCTGGAAGCATCCATAGGATCAAACTTATAATTGTTCTGTTTCTCAGAGCTCACATCAGTTATTCACTTCCTCAGGACTGCAGCTCTGCCAGGGTGTCAGGTTTCTAATGAATCTGTGCTTGTATTGGTACAAAAGCTGCTCTGAATAAAACCACAGCAGATGAATAAGGGTGGAGGAGGCTTCATTCTCTTTCTGCTTAGATTTATTCCTGAGTCCTGCTCTGTTCTCAGGATTAGTTCTCACCAATAAATACAGATGAATCTTTACAGAAATAAAGTCTGTAGCTTGACCAGAATCAGCAGAGCGTCATGGGACGTTTCATTTCATCTCTGTGGTGGCTTTGTGTGCCCAGAAAGTGACACAGTGACAGTTCAGAACTCCATAGAGAATCTGTCTGATTTTAGTGTCCTTCAGTATCGCGGTGATTCTCTGCTCTCAGACATGCTGCTGTTTGACTGAATGTCAACAGATGGAGGATAGAAGTAACAGCAGCAGTCACAGNTGCAGTTCTTATTGGTTCTGTGTATTTCCGTTTGGTTCAGTCTAGTTCAGTTTGGTTCTGTATGGTGTAGTTTGATGCAGTCTGGTTCTTTGTGGTTCTTTTTGGTTCAGTCTGGTTCTGTGTAGTTCTGTTAGGTCCTGTGTGGGTCTGTGGGTTTTGTTTGGTTCTGTGTAGTTCTGTTTTGTACAGTCTGCATCTGTCTGCTTCTGTACAGTTTTATGTGGTTCTGTTTGGTTCTGTCTGGTGTAATTGGGTTCAGTTTGGTTCTGATTACCTCTGTTTGATACAGTCTGGTTCTGTCTAGTTCGGTTTGGTTCAGTTTTGCTCTGGGTGGTTCTGTTTGGCTCAGTTTGATTGTATCTGGTTAGTTTGGTTCTTTCTGGTTCTTTCTGGTTTTGTTCAGGTTCAGTCTAGTTGTGTTTGGTTCTGATTGGTTCTGTGCAGTTTTTGTTGGGTTCTGTCTGGTTCTGTTTGGTTTTGTGTAGTTCTGTTTGGTACAGTCCGGTTCTTTCTGATGCTCTCTGGTTGTTAATCTGAGTCTTTAGTTGGAAGCTGAAGAACAAACTGGAGAGATCTTCGGTTCTCAGATGTAGAGTTTACTTCAGCCACAGGTGAAGTGAGGCGGCGCTGGACTCTATCAGAAGGAGCCCCGATATCTGGAAACGGTACAAAGTCCACATGTGTTGTCCAGAGGCGTGTATCTAAAGCAGCTGATAGAACAGAGGAGTTTCCACTGTCTCCCAGTATGTGAACCAGACCTTATCCGGACATGTTATCTTCAAGGACGTACTTTGTGTTCAGCAGAAAAGGACAAAACAGGATCATAGGTTCAGTGAAGAAATCCAGATTCAGAATACATGTTAGTACAGTCAGACCATACAGTGTATGACTCCTCTGACACGCTCCATTACCTGCTGACTCCACCCTTCTCTCTCTCGCTGTCTCGCTGCTTCCTCATCATATCGATACAGTCTTCGAGTGAGACGACAGGCTTTGAATCAGCACCCGAAGCAGAGCAAAAGCAAGGAACAGGAACTAAACTCCCCACGACCAGGACGACAGACACAGGCTTCAAGTGGTTCTGGATTAAACTTCTTCAGAACCAGAGATGCCGCCACTGAATGGAAAAATCGTGACTGTGGTGCTGTTCATAGCTGTGCTGCTGGGGTGAGTACAAATACTACCACTGTAGTACTAATGCTGCTGTTGAAGTGAGTTCAGTGTTGTGCTGTCAGGGCCAGCAAGGCCTTCTCTGCTGGCCTGAACTCTGACTTACGTTGTCATATTTTCCCATGAATCTTTTAAGTTTATCCCCAACAGTCTATTCTCTTCATTTCATGGTGTGTCTCTGGGCTGTGGTGCTTCCAGCAGTGTAAGCTTATATTAGAGCTTTTATCCAATCATATTTCAGCCATCATGTGATGCCGGGGTCTCAGAAATCTGCCGTGAGGTCTTCAGAATCAAGAGTGTTGGCACCTGTAGCTTAAAATGCATTGTAGTGAAACTGTTGCTTTAACCAATCAGGTTTAGTGTTGGTTGTCCCAGGGCCAGCTACGATGACGTCAGCACTTTCACGTCCTCTGATTGGATGATCAGAGAGCTTAGCCAAAGCTAGTTATTCCTGTCTGTAGCGACCTGCACAAGCTAAAACTTTATTGTAAAAGCATTAAGTAACTGAATAGACCAACTGTCAGCATCAGTCTCCATGGTGATAGAACAGGACTTACAGGATTACCTGCTCAACAGAGTGACTGAACTCTTGGGGAGGAGAGTAAGGAGGCTGGAGTTTGTCTTCAAATAATCACAAGTTTTGGGGAGTAAAATATTTTTCTCATTTCATTGGGCTGATATTGATGCTCCTGTTAGATGTGATGTGTACGCTGCAGCTGTGGCTGCAGCAAGAGGAGACTTGTTGAATTGTTTTAACTGGGATTC